GCTCGGCTTGGGTGGGTCAAGGGGGATCCGAATCCGAAGATAACCTCCTCGCTTCCGATGTCGGTACCGTCACCAATGACGCCGATACGAATATCGCAACTGATGCGAATAATGAAGAAGGAGAAGATTGCGACGACGACGAGAATGATGAGGTGATGAGTGAGTATGACAGCGACATACAGCAGAATGTAGACATGCCTGTCAATGAAGAAGCGGAAGAGTCAGCACAAGTCGAACAGGTCGACCACGACATGCAACGAAATCATACTATGCTTACTGGATATCCTCAAAAAGGTGCCGTCTACACGCCTGGTTCTCTCAACGGATTATGGACGGGACGAATGATCGTAAGTACTCCCCGTTACTTTGTTCGCAATATTTTGTCGAATCACTTCCAACTATCTGGTTGTCTTCGCGTATGCTAATTCAATCTACTATGAAGATCCCCGACGAGACACATCTCCGTGCACTCCTTCTACCCCCTGCACCAACGGTCAATCAGCAAGAACTCTTACTTCCCCCTGACCAACTGCCTCTACCCAACAATGACAACCACGAAGACGAACCTCACCCCGCTGTTGTTGCTGCGGCCCAAAATCCTCTGAACAATGCCAATCTTACCCCGGACCCCCGTCAAGAAGCTGGACACCGACCCCTTCCATTCAATGAAGGCACTCTCGGGCTAGTCGCTGTACCCTTATACGTCCGTCTTTCAGAATATGCAGTGTATTCTGGCGGGAGAACAGTTCCATGTGCCCATGACACCGAAGATGATAACGATTATGGGACGGATTCTGATTTTGACGGCGACGACGGAATATACTCTTCCACTCGTTCTCACAATAGCGGAGACGGCTCAAATACCACTCGCGCTGGCAGTAGGCACGATACGGGCTCTAGACCTACGAATATCAATCCCGATGATGCTTTTGATCAGGGTATCAAAGACAGCTGGTTTCCTCCCAACACAACACTATCCACTAAAGGTGATCGTGTTATTGCCTCCGTACCTTCTTCTGGTCCAACCAATGGAGAAGAGTACGAGTATGTTGCGGTTAGGAATAGTGATATTAATGCGGATGATGATTTCCGGTTTTCCCCGTCTGTCGCTTCGACGTCTACTTTAACTCCTGGACGCAGCGGAGCAGAAGCTCAGAGAAAACGCAAGCCTGGGACGTTTCATGATCGAGAAACGTGTACGGGGTGTATAGCGCGGGAGAGAGCGTTGTTGTTTGCGAGAACTGAGGCGCAGGCACTAGTGGATATCGATCTTGAACATCCCGCAGATGCTTCATCGGACGGATGCTCGGACGAAGATGTATCCGAAGAAGAACCCACAGAGGACCTCCCTCCATACGTCCCCTCCGCAGAAACTATTCCTCCTTGTAACGGCATCCGAGACGTGTTGATTACTGGAAGTACGGATCCTCGACATGCTGCTGCGTGGGGCAAATGGGTGTGGAGAGGACGAGTGAGGAAGTGGGATGGGTTGGTAGGTCTGGTCAGGAGTGTCGATAGTGGGGTAAGTTCCGAGTGACATTTTTTGTTCTATCGTGTCTTCTCTCGCGGTTTCTGTAAATTTCCCATCATCTATGTGTTCATGCTTACTAACTATCCCTTTCCTCCGTTTCCATCCTATCTAGCCTCCTGGATCCTCCCCAGTCAACGGTGGCGGTGGGAAGATATTCTTCTATGGTACTCTTCTTGGTGGACAAAATCTCGTAGGAACGTGGCGGCTAGCACATGAAGACCCACGAATGCCTGCGTATGAAGGCGCGTTCACCCTAGGGCGAAAGGACGAGTGAATCAATGCGTTGCTCAATCGTCAACCTGGTTTATGCTCTCCAGATTCTGGACTGATTCTCAAAAACAACACACGCGATCTAGAAAATTGCTGATACCCCAAAAACTTCGTAGGATCGAAAAACTCAAAATAAACATTGGGTCCTCTATTCATAGCCTTCGCTGCTCTTGCGACCCTGTTAATCGCTGTCGATCTCGCATCATACTGATGTATTTCCTTCATGCTTATGTATGTTGTCTTCTTGCTTTTTCCCAGTATTTGTCCCCCTTACTTTCCTGGGGCCTTCTTCCTTTGCGCATCTTTCGCTTTTGTTTGTTTCCCGCACTGCACCGAACTGTGTTGAATTTGTAGTATCGTATCCTCTTTTTACTTGTATCACATACTGATTGCATCTTGGACTTTGGACTTCATTGGAATAAGTAATCAAGTTCTGCATATTCTTCAATTATTTAAATCTTTCGAAGTATTTGATTTTTCTTGGCCGTCTATCGACATCTTTGATTCATTGTCGATTTGACTCGCTCCTTCATATGCCGCATTCGAAAATCGTTGGAAATATACCTCTCTCCCCACGGCTTCTCCCAATCCCCATCCTTCCTCTCCAACGACTTGCCGTTTACTCCACTCTCCTCTGTGTTGTGTGTTGTGCGTTCTGTGTGCGTATTGCGTGTATTGCGTGTGCTGTCTTCTGTTATGTTGTGTGCTGTGTTTAATATTCGTAACAGTCGTACGTCAAATGTATGCCTAGGCCTATACAATTGATAACTGGTATGTATACATACACCGATGCTTCGAGTCCGGTCGCGAATCTGTCTCTATCTACATGTGTACAATCCTCCTTCCCTCCGCGCTCGGGTTGCGAAACGATGCATGAGGAAAAAAAAAAATGCTCCAAAAGACTCATTCATGGCCAACGTGGGGATCGAACCCAAGACCTTCGCGTTATTAGCACGACGCTCTAACCAACTGAGCTAGTCGGCCCACACCGTACGTTTTCACTTTCTAAGCTGTATCTTATAATTTTTTTGGTCCAGGCAGGTGACCGCGTCGAAACACCCGGGTATTTGGCCCGGGGTCTCTTGTTTTCCCTCTTATACCCTGTTTCGACCACAACATCCAAGTTCTTACAAGCTCCTAGCTCAAACAGATGATCCTTAATATCCCTCGTCGTCCTCCACTCAGGTGCTTTTCACCGACCACTACAGTTGCCCGTAGAAGCGTTATTGGTACCCGTCGATATAATTCAAGCCAGCCCTCAGCCGATGGACATGGACCTCAGGGGTCTCATGGAATTGGAATTCCTCCACCACTCGCTGGAATCAAAATCGTCGACCTTACTCGCGTTTTGGCAGGGCCGACTGCAACAATGCTGCTGGCTGATTTGGGCGCAGATGTTATCAAAATTGAGCAAGTAGGAAAGGGTGACGACACTCGTAAGCTGTGCTCAGCTTCCATTGTCTATGTCATGGATTGAATGCCTTGGTTGTTTTCTGTAGGATCGTGGAATCCTCCTTCCGCGCCTCTCCTACCCCAATCTTCCTCTTCGAGTTCTCTACCAGAACGTGCTCATTCCTTGCCCCCTGAATCTGCCTATTTTTTATCTTCAAACAGAAATAAACGCTCGATTACTGTCAATTTCAAAGATCCTGCTGGTTTGGAAATTGTGCACAAGCTCATTGAACAGGCAGATGTCCTGGTGGAAAATTACATTCCTGGTAAACTCGCAAAACTGGGTCTCGGGTGGGAGCAGTGTCATAAGATCAATCAGAGGTTGATCTATGCTAGCATAACTGGTGGGTGCTATGGAAATTGATGACCCCGTCTTGTACAAGTCTAGTGAATCATTTGAGATATCAATAGGTTACGGACAGACTGGACCATATCGTCAACATGCTGGCTACGATGTGATTGTCGAGGGTGAAGCAGGTCTGATGCATATTACGGGCGAACCGTATCCGGCCAAACCTGTAAAGGTTTGACCTCTTTCTCTTTCTACTTATCAAACGGCATTCGCTCACTGCTGGACAGGTCGGCGTAGCTGCAACCGATGTCGCCACAGGCCTATACACGCACGGGGCCATTATGGCTGCGCTTATAGGAAGACAAAAGACGGGAAAAGGGTGTTGGATTGACTGTAACCTGTTCGAGACGCAAGTTGCCGGGTTAGCGAACATCGCGTCCAACTACTTAATTGCAGGGCAGGAAGCGCAGAGGTTTGGTACCGCTCATCCGAGTGTGGTGCCGTATCAGGTATGATTCTTCTCGTATGACCATATGTGTGGCTTCTGATGCTCGAAAAAAAAACGACTTCTGTTTCCAGGTATTTCCGTGTAAAGCACCCGATGGACAGGCAGGCGACGATTTCATCATGATTGGTGCTGGAAACGATAACCAGGCAAGCGATATGATTATTGCCGTTTTAATTTCCGTCCGACAAATATCTTTGTTACCATCTTTAGTTCAACACTCTGTGTACTCTAGTTCTTCCTCTTCCCAGCTTACCCTCGGATCCACGATTCTCTACGAACGCTCTTCGGGTGGCAAATCGCAACGAACTGATCAACTTGCTAGAAATAGAGCGGAGGAAGTACGTATCTGCCTTGTCAACTATTCTTCGCTTCTTACTTGTTCCATCTCCAATTGTATCTATCATCTTGGTCGTTTCCGTGTTCGGTTATTTCATTTGTATCCAGAGAGACCAAAGCCCACTGGCTAGGAAAATTCAGAACAGCAACCAAAGCGGGAAAAGGCGTTCCCCATGGTCCTATCAATAACATCAAGGAGACGTTCGACCACGAACAAGCTGTTGCAAGGAACGTGACTGTCGAAATCGATGTGGGTTCTCTGTACTATATTTTGTGACCAATTTCCTGGAACTGCTACCACTAACTATCCTTCAGCATCCACGCGCAGGACCAATAAAACTCGTTGCTCCCGCTGTTTCATATAATGGGAAAAAGATGCCTGTGAAGAGGCATCCGCCGTGGTTGGGAGAACATAGTGATGAGGTGGGTGTCAGGTCGTAATACCCCGCATGCAGGTTACGCTAATCAGTGCAATTGCTAACCAGGTCCTAACTGAGTTGGGGTATTCCGCCGCGCAGGTGGAACAGCTTCGTGCGAAGGGAGTAGTTTAATGACTATGTAATCATATTATCAGGAAGATGATGGTGATACAGACCATGACTTACGCCATCGGCCTGATGGTCTAGGAGTATGATTCGTTGTTAGGGTCCGTTCCTTATTCGACGAGGTCCCGGGTTCAATTCCCGGTCAGGCCCGCTCTTTTGTTCTGTCGAATAACGTCAATTCCAATCGTTGAGGAGCAGATGCCTGCTATTATTTTAGCAGCGAAAGTTGCAAGCGCCTTGATAAAGTTCCGTTCTGGACGCAAATCATGGCCTCACGCCGGCCAAATAAACGGCTTGAGGAAGATGAACTATGAGAGAAGTTCAGAGTCCAGTGTCTCGAGCATCCCGTGAATTCAAATTGTGTTGAACCTGTTGTCGTTTACTTGGAGAGGACCATGGATGGTCTATTGCGCCCGGAGTCATGGTTTCTGCTATAGATATAAATCTGCAGAGACTCGCACACGCTACATGATGTACCGCCATAGTCGCGTCGCAGGGACAACGATGCGTTCAAGTCGTCTCAAGACATTGGATTAAGAGCAGAAATTTAACCTGGATGATCATCAGAAATTTGAAACCCGTTAACAACTCCATAGGTGAATCCTACATAGGTCCCCTTCATTGAGCTACGTTCCAATGGCCACATATCGGGATGTAAATCATGCAAGCATCGTTAGCAGCGTCGACCTTTTTTCGTCGCCTGCCATTTAAATCGAGGTGACAAAGCCGTCCAATAAGACTCATGGCCCGATCATTCTTGAAAGCTTCCACAAACGAATCAACCTCCATGTAGTCCCACTCGTTCTAGAGCTGTTTTTCAGCAGCCAATCTTGCTGGGGCAGAAGGGATGCACGTCTATCTTTTACCTTGTTTGAACAGGATTTTCTTCAAAGTACTTGACGAACAGGGCGCCAGCAGTTGAACGCTGAGGTCTGAAATCAGATCCGAATTCGACGAACGAATCTACAGATACATGCTTACTGTAGAGTTAGATATAGTTCCTGAAGGTCAAGCCCTCCGAGGTCATATAAATTTGAGATGTGCATCTCGAAATCCACGAGATAGATTTAGATCGGAGATTGCAACGCCGCCACTTGATTTCCACTTGTGGGTCTCCGTGGGTCTCGAAATTCTGGATTAGGACGAGTTACCTCGACAGAGATGCATATAGGGAGGTCGCAGCAAGTGGCTGGTATTCCTCGGGGTATATAGCCACTTGGGATTATGGTAGGGTGGCCGCTTTCTCCTACTCTCTATCTCCACTGTGGTCTTGGTAGTGGTGTAACAGCAAGGAAATAAATGAGTTTATTTTCCTTCTCTGTCGGGAGTTTAAGGCTATCCACATCGTGTCGCCGAACGCCACCAAAGCACTCAGTACACTCGGAGAACTGTGCGCGGAGGAAAGCCTCGGGAGTTGGGTTCAATCTGGCCTCCATCCGAACGCTATATGGTTTATCCAGAGACTATCATTCATACATAGAATTTACAATTCATATTGTTACTGTGAATATAGGTGAATATACGCTTACAAATAATCCTTACTCTGAAAACGATCTCCTGTTAGGAGACGAAACGCAAAGCAGCAAAGGGTTGAGCAACTTGGGCAATATCCACTGGACTGTTGAGGACTTCAAATTTCTGTCCCGGAAATCGACACGGAAAAAAGTTATAACATGGAAGATGGATATGACGCGCTTCGGAGGTAATCGGCATACCGGAAAAGTCAAGCTCTTGATCAGTGACCACCATCACAGCCGTAGCTCAGTCTACGTCCCTTTTCTCCTTTTCCCTCAATGTTGTCAAAACAAGCTCTGCGGAATTTACCTTCACGGTCGAAGGCAGCCGTCGTCGCGGCCAGAGCACAACAATCCGTAATTCCTCGTCGACGTGACTTGGCAACTCCTGCTGCCAATCCACCGTCACCTAATGACATTTTCGCCAACGGCACCAATGCTTATTATGCAGAGGAAATGTACAGGCATTGGAGGCAGGACCCCAGCTCTGTGCATGCTTCTTGGGATGCCTACTTTAAAGGACTCGACAAGGGTCTTCCTAGCTCTGTAGCTTTCCAACCACCACCCAGCCTCGTTGCACCTCCTACCGATGGTGCTCCAGCCTTGCATGCTAGTGCTGGCGGTGCTGAACTTGACGATCATCTCAAAGTTAGTCACCAAAAAGCCTACAGTTGAAATAGCACAAATTACTCAGTTTCGTCCGTTTTTCTCCGCAGGTTCAACTCCTCGTCCGGGCATACCAAGTTCGCGGACACCACGTCGCCGAACTTGACCCCCTTGGCATTTTAGATGCTGATCTCGCCAACATTCAGCCCCCAGAGCTCGAGCTCAGTCGATATGGCTTCACCGACCGTGATTTGGACAAGGAAATCACTCTCGGGCCTGGTATTCTCCCTCATTTTGCCACGGAGGATAGAAAGACAATGAAGTTGGGTGAAATTATCAAGTTGTGCAAACGTATCTACTGTGAGTACCGAACTCATCTTCTTTCGAACTTTCCTCACTAGTTTCACAGGTGGTGCTGTCGGTATTCAATACATTCATATTCCCGACAAGGATCAATGCGATTGGATCCGTGAACGTGTCGAGATTCCTAAACCCTGGAATTACACCGTCGACGAAAAACGTATGATCCTCGACCGTCTCATTTGGTCTGAATCTTTTGAAAAGTTTATCGCTTCAAAATATCCCAACGAGAAGCGTTTCGGCCTCGAGGGATGTGAATCTCTCATTCCCGGTATGAAAGCTCTTATAGACCGTTCCGTCGAACATGGTGTTTCCAATATCACCCTGGGTATGCCTCACCGAGGTCGGCTCAACGTTCTCGCGAACGTCATCAGAAAACCCATTGAAGCTATTTTGAATGAATTCAGCGGAGCAGAAGGCGATGAACCCGCTGGAGACGTCAAATACCATCTCGGCGCCAATTACGTTCGTCCGACACCTTCAGGAAAAAAGGTCGCCCTCTCTCTTGTCGCTAATCCATCTCACCTCGAAGCCGAAGATCCTGTCGTTCTTGGGAAGACGCGCGCTATCCAGCACTTTGAGAAGGATGAAAAGTCACACAACACTGCTATGGGTGTTTTACTCCATGGTGATGCTGCGTTCGCCGGTCAGGGAATTGTTTACGAGACTATGGGCATGCACAATCTTCCCAACTACGGAACTGGAGGAACCATTCATCTTATTGTCAATAACCAAGTCGGTTTCACCACTGATCCTCGATTCGCCCGTTCTACGCCTTACCCTTCGGACATTGCCAAATCTATCGATGCTCCCATCTTCCACGTCAATGGCGACAACGTCGAAGCTGTAACTTTCGTGTGTCAGCTCGCTGCGGATTACAGAGCCAAGTATAAGAAGGACGTTGTCATCGACATTGTTTGCTACAGACGATATGGACACAACGAAACCGACCAACCGATGTTCACTCAACCGAGGATGTACAAAGCCATCGAGAAACAGCCTACAATCCTTACTCAGTACTCCAAATTCCTCGTTGGAAGAGGAACTTTCACTGAAAAGGATATTGAGGAGCACAAGAAATGGGTCTGGGGTATGCTCGAGAAGGCCGCCGCCGGTGCCAAGGACTACGTACCTACCTCGAAGGAATGGCTTTCCGCCTCCTGGCAGGGATTCCCCTCGCCCAAGCAGCTCGCAGACCAGACTCTCCCGACCCGCGCTACCGGTTCCGATGAAGCCACCCTCCAACGCATCGGTCGTGCCATCTCCAGCTACCCCAACGGTTTTACTGTCCACCGCAATCTCGGCCGTATCCTCCAAACCCGTGGTAAGACTATTGAAGAAGGCAAAAACATCGACTGGTCGACCGCTGAAGCCCTCGCATTCGGTGCTCTCGCCCTCGAAAACATCCACGTTCGTGTTTCCGGGCAGGATGTCGAACGTGGCACCTTCTCCCAGCGTCATGCTGTCCTTCACGACCAGGCCAACGAAAAACAATACGTCCCTCTAAACGACCTCGGTTCCTCCCAAGCTCGTTTCATTATCTGCAACTCATCCCTGTCTGAATACGGTACACTCGGATTCGAACTCGGATATTCTCTCGTTTCGCCCGACTGTCTGACCATGTGGGAAGCTCAATTTGGTGACTTTGCAAATAACGCACAGTGTATTATCGATCAGTTTATTGCAAGTGGCGAGAGGAAGTGGTTGCAGAGGTCTGGGCTTGTTATGAGTTTGCCGCATGGCTATGATGGACAGGGTCCTGAGCACTCAAGTGCAAGGCTTGAAAGGTTCCTGCAACTCTGCGATGATCACCCCAATGTGTTCCCTAGTCAGGAGAAGATTGAGAGACAACACCAAGATTGTAATATGCAGGTTGTATACCCTACAACTCCGGCTAACTACGTAAGTCTGTCTGTTTTCTTCGAATTGCTTCTTCTCACCAACAATGATGTTCACGACGTTGTAGTTCCACGTCCTTCGTCGTCAAATCCACCGTGACTTCCGCAAGCCCCTCATTATATTCTTTTCTAAAAATCTTCTCCGCCACCCGAAAGCTCGCTCCGACCTTTCTGAAATGGTTGGAGATACGCACTTCCAACGATATCTGCCCGAACCCCACACCGAAGACCTTGTTGCACCGGAGGAAATCAAGCGACATGTCTTGTGTAGTGGTTAGTCGGTCATACTTGTAGGGAACAAGATCCTTTGCTGATATTATGAACAGGACAAGTTTATCACACTCTTCTCGCTGCCAGAGAGGAAAGAGGTATCAAGGATATTGCAATCAGTAGGATCGAACAGCTTTCACCCTTCCCCTACGACATGGTATGTTCTCAATTACCACCGTTGCCCATCTATTCATTTTGTATGGATTGGTTTCTTCGTAGATCACTCCTCATTTGGATAAGTACCCCAACGCCGGACTACTTTGGTGCCAGGAAGAGCCTCTGAACAACGGCGCATGGAGCTATGTCGGACCTCGTATTTACACTGCCGCCCAACAAACCGAGCACCACAAGGGTAAATACCCGAGGTATGCTGGAAGAGATCCTACTAGTTCCGTCGCTACTGGATCGAAGGTCTGTCGCTTGTGTTCCTTCATTTTCTACTTATCCTTGTTAACTGCGCACCTCATTAGGCTCAACACAAGAAGGAAATCGAGATGTTCCT